CATTAACTCTTACAGGATGGGGGAAATTGGTCTTGGCGGAGGTTTGCACTCTCCGAGTGCTTCTAGTTCAAGCAATGATAAACCAAATAATAAAAACAAAAAAATACAAAAAGTTTCAGAGACTCAAAGCCTTGCTTTGGTTTTGAATTCAAACTAGAAACCAAACACAGACAGGATTGTTGACCACGTGACCCCACAGCTCATCACATCTCATCTATTTAGACAACAGACATGAAGATCCCATCAGAACCCCCCCCCCCCCCCCAGCTGAACACTCCACTACCTTCTCATTATAAAGCTCGAGGCCTCGTATCGATCCCTCATTATCATGTTTATTGTAAGTACTGTACGTTACATAGAAAGCAGAGTTTCATTTGGAGCGCTGACAGCAGTGATTGATGAGCTGCGGTGGTCCGAGGGTACATGTGTGGGAATACTGAGCAGGTGCTGCTGGAGGAGGGGGTGGGTGGGGGTGCGCAGAGAAACCCTGGGATAGAAGGGGTGGAGAGGGCAGTGTAGCTCGGGTTACCCCGACAGAGGGATGCTGGGGGCATGAGGAGGGGGTGCCAGGCCCAAAAAAGCAGCGTGTTCTGCACGTGGTGGCAGGGGGCCTGAGCCTGGGTCGGACCCCGAGGCAGCGCCGTCCTTCACATTATAACCTGCAGACGTCTGGACGTCAAGCATGGGCAGAGGGGTGAGTTCTCTCTTTATTTATTTTTTAACTAAACAAACCGTATGCACGCAAACTTTATTTTAGTTGCATTTAAGACACGAATTTGTTGGAACCCGTTCTGCTCATTTTGAACTGTTTTKTTTCTTGTGAAACATAATTCAGTTAAAAGAAATCGTCTAATATACATTTGCTTGGCTGTAGTATACGAGAGGATAAACAAAAAAAATTAGACATGATTTGTTATTTTACAAAATTGTGAAAAAATGGCAAGAACCAATTTGTTGGGACCCTTAAAAGACTCAGTTTTTGCATTTTAGACTAAGTATCACATGTGCTGCTAAGCTTTTCATCAGTCATTTAGTCAATAATAAAGACTATGAAGCACAGGAGTCAAACTCATTGTCACTGAAGGACACGTCAGCTTCATGGTGGCCCTCAAAGGGCCACTTGTGATTAACTGTGACTAAACAGGAAACGTCACATTCCTCATCTCGTTGCTACGGCTGAGTGCCACTAACAAACAAAAACTGAGCTCTATGTGGTGTTTACTGCATAGAAACAGTGTTTTTAACACATCATCTTATACAGTAAATATTGAAAAGTACTATGTGCACGACTGACTAAATGTGAAATAAAAAAATTCAGAAATAGTATTTTTCATTGTTGAGTCGTGATGCGTAGCTGCCATCTTGAACTCTGAACTCTGCCACTTTCCCACATTGGCGAAAACAAGTTCCAGTTTACTTTTACGACTTGTAAGTGGGAAATTCCCACTTCGCAATGCAAATGAGTCACAGCAAATGTAGCTGGAAAACTGCAGTGAAATTTCGATTTCACATGGTGAATTTTGCCAKCTCCACTGCAAAAAATCYWACCACGTTTTGAAATATTACGTCTWGCCAAAGAAAAATAAAATCAGTTTGATCTTGTTTTGAGGCTGATTTACTAAACAAGAACAGAACGTTTAAGATTATTGATTTGATTTGATTTGATTTATTTAACAGGTAAAGATTATTAAAAATCAAGCCTGACTCAGCATAATTGCTGTTTTACAGCAGGTTCCTGTTCTGCAGCACATAAAACACTCAGAAWTACAGCATCACAATCACATCATTATACACCATATACACAAAGACAAACAAGCATTCCAAAATTCAAAAAGGCAGCATTTGCAAAATAGGACGTCTAAACATGAGCACAACAAAAAGTGTCCAGCAGATGGCAGACAAGATTCTTCTTAAAGGGCTGTAGTTTTGAAATGGACTTTATGTTTTGAGGAATGTCATTCCATGCTTTAGTATAAACATAGAAGAAAGACCTCTGGCTTGGCGCTATATAAATATATTGTATTGAATAGTATTATTATTTATCTTGTTAGCTTGGAGATTCGACTCAAATTACGTGCAAACATTTGCCAATGAAGTGAGACAACTGTACTTTATAAGATTCTTAAAATAAGGAAAAACTGAGTCAAGTTAAGTGATTCTTACCAATTAAAATCTTATTCCATTGGCAGATTTGTTTTCACTTCATTTCAGTCAAATTTCCAGGCTAACAAGATTATTAATCTTACATTCTGTTCTTTTAAAACTTGGTTAGAAGGACATTTTTTTGCCATGTGGCAGTTACTTTTGAACCCTGTGCAGCTCTACTTAGTGATGGGACGTCATTATTTACAGGTGAAACAATCAACATTTGTTATGGGAGGTGTGATTTATAGTCAATGCTGGTTTTAAAGCAGCTTATTGTGAGACATTATTACATCTTTGAAGCTCTCGCAGGCCACATTTGGCCCGTGGGCCTTGAGTTTGACACGTGTTATAAGGGTGGTTTTGTGCGGCTGGGCACACCAYGCTGAAGTTAAAGACTACAATCCCATCTCCAAGCAGCTTTATGGTCATGTGACCTCAGCTAGCGATAATATTAAAGAGTAAAATGGTTATGAGACTGTAGCCAACCGCCCAGGAAATGGACGCAAAAGAAAATGCGACCCCAGGCTGATCAGACGGATCAGTGTGGATGGTAGAAAAAAAAAGGCTAAGGAAGCCATCCATTACCGTTAAAATCAAAAATAAGCCAAAGAGGGCCCCAGTAGCATAAAAACACAAMCAGGCCTCAAAGTTTCTGAGGCCGTTGAAACAAAACTGAAGCTTTTTGGCTTCAGTCGCATCAGTTTTTCTTTTTGTTTTGTTTTCCATTCTGGAAGCAACCCACATTAATGCGTGTGTTTGTTGTACGCCGTGTGGAAACAGGAGGTCCTGAAATCTGCGAGCATCAGAATCCCCTCTTCACACAACAACATCTCAGGATGATGGCTCTCCTCCTCAATGGGTTTGGTTCCCGGTTTGCAGTTTATCAGCGTTATTTAGTAATTTTCCTTRTATTCTCTCTATCAGGCCCATTCCATTTAGCTTTATGGGAGGACAGCCTGGTAATCTTCCTCACGCACAGCGGGGGGAAATTGCTATGCCAGACACATTTCAGGCTCTCCACCGACTCTGCGCTCCCTCTTTGGCTCTTTTTTTTTTTTGATTAGTTTTCCGCTGTGTCACTCACGTGCACACCCTTCTTCTCACATTCTCAGAGCACCCCCTCCTCCTTCACTGACGTGCACACATGCACAGCTAAGGGGAGACTGACAGCGGCAGATGATTTCCATGATGCGCCGCTCCTCCGCACGCACTCTCTCTGTCACAAATAAGGAACTTGTACAATGACAAAAAAATAAATATAAAATAAAATCTCCATATTCAGTGAATGTTTTGCCAACAGTGCCAGGAGATTGAAATGATCCAGCACACACAGGTCCATTGTGTTTGTAAAACGCTGCTCTGAATGTAAATGTCCTGCAAGCTCTCACACACCTCTGTTTTCCCACAGTGGGGAGCTGAAAATGGAGGCAAGAGGAAAAAGAAGGACAAGGACTTGGACGAGCTGAAGAAGGAGGTGGCCTTGGTGAGGAGAAAAAACAAAAACAAGCCGTCCCCATTCCTGCCCACACTTCTGCACAGTGATTGATTTCATTGCCGCCTTTTCCAAATGATCTCCGCACAGCATTACGCCGGAGACACCAGGTTATTTAACAAGGGCTATAAACGAAAACGGCGGCCCGTAAACAAAATGGCAATCCAACCTGTTCGGCGTAGTCAGCCGCAGACGGGCTGCAAGGTTTTCTTCTGCTCAGCCTCCCTCCCCCCGGCTGCTCTTCTCTGTGCTCAGAAAGACACTGAATAATTTGTGGGCCACCAGCAGCCTGGTGCCGAGTCTCTGCGTTGTAGTTCTTTGAGGTGCTGTCAAAATGCCACAAAGCCGTGCCCGAGAAAACTGGGTTAAGTTCTTGCTGCTCCCGCTATGAGTGATAAAGTCGCTCCTGTCAATTAGAAAGTAGGCGATTAAAGGAAGAATCCATACGGGTGTCAGGAGTGAGCATTGTGCTCGTCACAGTTTACTTTCCTCACCGGGCTTCACACACTTCTTCATTTACTGATTTACTTTTTCGCCTTTAAACAGAAATCCCTTTAATCACCTCCAGACCAGGGCTAATCAATACTGGGTGTAGCTCTATATAAACAAAATCTGTTCTTCAGGAACACAAGAGCATTCAGTTGATTTTGACCAAATTACTTTCAGCCAGCTGAGGCTGCGAAAGAAAGTGAAGGATTATTTTCTGTCTGCTGGGTGGAAAAAAAAGGAGCTTCCACTCTGTTAGGAAGACCTGATCCTGAGAGATGATGTCTGGATCCATACAGGAGACCTGCAAAAACAGATCTTTAAAAATGGATTTATTTATTTTTTCAAATTAATACATAACTTGTTCGTGTAATACTTTGCATTACTTTAAAGGGGCAATATTATGTGTTTCTCAGGCATATATTTAAATACTATACCATAATAAAGTATCTATGTCACCTTTAGCTGTTATTAAAATGCTGTTTTTATGTTTAAATATAAAAATAAACTTATCTTCTCATCACTTCCTCTTCTAAACCTGAAATGAGCTTCAGTGAGTGAGAAATAATGTTGAGAGCAGCAGACAGTTAGGT